TCTCTCTTCCCTCTCTTTCCCTCTTTTTCTCATTTTTCTCTCTCTTCCCCCTCTTTCTCTTTCTCTCCTCCTCTCTCTCTTTCTCTTTCTTTCCTCCTCTCTCTCTTTCACTCTCTCCCTCTCTCTGTCTCCCTCTCTCCCTCCTTTTTTCCTTTTCTCTTTTTCTCTCTCTCCTCCTCTCTCTCTCTTTCTCACACACAGACACACAAACATGTACACATGCATACAAATATTTTCATTCACAGATCCCCTAATGCTTCAACACAGACCCCAAGTTAAGAATCAGGCCTCAAAAACGCTCATTATCAAAAACTATGTAAATATGTTTCTACTTAACAACTTTGTGTACACAACAACAAAATAAAGCATTTATTTGCTTATTTCCCCATCCTACTGTGATTACCTTAACCTAAGCAGAACATCTCACTACAGTAACCACTGACAATGAACTTTGCACAGCCCAGACTCAGTTGCCCTCTGCTCCATTTGATCAGACAGTTCGTCCTTCATATGACCCTGTTTTAATCATTATCTTCTCTCTCTCCTCAAGGTCTGACTGACCTATACATTTTCCCCTGAATTTACAACATGACTCCTTTAATTTCTGCTACCCTACGTCCCTCTCGACAATTTGAACTTATAAACAGAACACCAGGAAAGAGTCACTCAGGTATTAAGGAAATTCTTCACTTTGCAAAAATATTCACTCATGTCATTTAAAGTTTTAACCTATTCATTAAATACATCAATTGCTTTAGAAAACTCAAATGCACTCTATTGTCCACACATAAAAGACACCAGCGGGCTCTGAATAGCTCCCCTTCTGCGTTTATGGCTCTCCCTTCACAATGTCTTTGTATGTGTGTTAACGAAACACGCTCACCACGTGTCCGGGTCCCCATTTGTGGTTGAAGAAGCTCAGGTATGAGGGCTGAGTTTGTGCGTGAGATGACTCCTGCGTTCACGGGCGGTTCTGACCCTCTCTGCTGACCCTGCCTGCCCTTGGTGCCGTCCCTAGATGTGGATGAGTGTCTGGAGCAGAACATCCGCTGCGGAGCCAACCGCATGTGCTTCAACACGAGGGGAGGCTACCGGTGCATCGACACTCCCTGCCCGCCCGACTACCAGCGGGATCCCGTGTCAGGGTATGTCTGCCCTTCTCAGCCCAGACGTGCCTTTGAAAATCCCTTCTCTTTCACCGAAATCCTTGGCAAACCTTGTCTGTAGGCATGTTGAATGCAAAGGCAATCAGTAACTGGAAGGATGTGGGGCTGCAGCGTGTTCCTTCCTCGGCAAACGGCCAGGAGTGAGCTCATCCCACAGCAGCCGGTCAGCCTAGCCCCCTCTCGGCTGCCAGCTCCTCCTCTGCAGCCTCCCCAACAAGCTGCCTCGTGACTCTAAAGTTAATTCTGCCTCCACTGTGAGCATTTTATGGGGTGAGGGAGCCTGCCTCTCCTTGACTCTGGTTTCCCTTTGTCCTGCCTGGGGATTATAAGGGCTCTCAGTGCGGGGAAAACTCCAACAAGCAGCTCTCCTGGAGTGCTGACCATGCACCCGAGGACGGGGATGAGCAAGGATGAGTCCATCGTCTGTCCTTTCCTCTGTCATCCTGCTCACATTTCCTGCTGTCTGAAACAGTCCTAGTCTGGGTTCTGAATAAACTATTTTTCTATTTTCTCCTCCTTAAGAAATACCATATTCTGGGTACTTGAAAACAGGCAGTGATGTCTTGTTGGACGGCCCCTCCTATAATAAGAGTTTCTGAAAACACATGCTCGCTGGAGTGGAGACTTGTTTTCCTCTTGGTCATGCCTACCGAGGGGCAGGGACACCCCTCCTGGGGAATTGCCCGCAGCCCACCAAACCTGTTTGTGATGGGTCTGATGGGAAGGGAAAGGAGAAAATTAAAAATATAGACTTGTGAAACTTCTAAAGACACTATGCCGGAATTATTTGTGTCTTCATAAAGTGCTCCTATCTGCATTTTTTTTTTCCTCTTTATGACCAGTGATTTCTGGCATACAATTTAGAAGTCATGAAGACTCAGAAAACAAGTCAGCGTGGGCTCTGGGAAAAGAAATTATAGCTTTTAAATCTACTGTAAAAGATAATTACAAAAGGAAGTTCTCCCCTCCAGGAATCTAACTGACCTTTTACTATTTTTAGAAAAATTAACTGAACATCCATACATTCTATTTAAGCTCTCCAACTGTGTAGGATAGATCTTATAGTTTTAAACATAGCTTGTATCCTTGTCTTTATGAAGTGCTTGTTTCCAGTATGTGTGCCGATACTTTTATTTCCAAAACCGACTTTTCATTTTAAGAAAGTACTCCTGTGGTATCCACGCTCCCTTCAGTGGCTCCTGTGCCCCTGATTTTAATGGAGCTGAGACATAGATGTTTGACTCCACCCCAGCAGATTCCCAAAGCCCTTAGGCATCTGGTTTGAGTTAGTGACACAGTATCCGGGCTGACAGTCATTGCCCTTGCAGCCAGACTGTCTCCTGCCTGGCATGCCTGAAAGTCACTGTGGGTCACGATCACCTGTGCTATGCCCTCCCCTGCTTCCAGATAATGAAGTGCATTCCATGTATTTGTTTGTCCTTAGGTTCTGCCTCAAGAACTGTCCCCCCAACGATTTGGAATGTGCCTTGAGCCCATATGCCTTGGAGTACAAACTCGTCTCCCTCCCATTTGGAATAGCCGCCAATCAAGATTTAATCCGGCTGGTTGCATACACGCAGGCTGGAGTGATGCATCCCAGGACGACCTTCCTCATGGCAGATGAGGAACACACTGCTCCTTTTGCCTTGAGGGGTGAAAACCTGAAAGGAGTGGTGTACACCACACGACCACTGCAGGAACCAGAGACTTACCGCATGAGGGTTCGAGCCTTGTCCTACAGCGGCAATGGGACCATTGAGTATCAAACCACATTCATAGTCTATATCGCTGTGTCTGCCTATCCGTACTAAGAAATTCTGCAACCCCTCTCCCACATGTTTAAACTGCATTAATCACGGCAATCGACTCCCCTTCCAGATTACAGTTGAACAGTTACAATCTTGGCAACTTGAAAATGGTGCTATACTCCGTTACAGGTGCCTTCTGGGGTACTCCCGAGGTATTCTCATGATCCCACCATGGTCAGATCTTTTAGAATAGTCCCTTCTTTCTTTATTTATTACACTGGAGGAGTTACTTCCCAAAGGTTATTCTGAACATCTAACAAGACACGTCAGTGCTGTTTTATAGTAGCTTAGGAGCTAAGGTCATTTTCTTTCAAACCAAACCAAGCAAAACAACTGACATTGGAGCATTTGACTCTTTCTAAAACAATCAGACTAATTGCTACATGTTGTGAGCAATGCCTATAAGATAATTTATGATTCTTTTTTAAGTTTGGATACTTTATAACAGGACTTACACATCTGTCTTCCTCTTAAGGAATAAAGGAAACCCCACTCGTTTTAGAAATGTAATATAGCTAGAAGAAGATTTGTTGGCTCCCAAATGCTGCTCAGCTTGATTGAACATTCAGAACAAGAGTCTTATTTTCCGTGATTTTATGAAATCAGCTGGGACACTTATAATAATGGGGAAAAAATAATTATTTTACCTTCAGACAACTGTTCGTGGCATGAATCTTTGCTCTCACATTTTGGCATCACTTTCTATCCAGTCAGCTCCATAACTTTTCCATTGCAGAATTTTTCTTATTGTCTTGTCGATGAAAGCAATTTGTAAAATGCCAATGGAACAGATTTCTTTGTTTTTCAAAAAAATACAGCGTATGTTCAAATTAGCAAAGATGTTCAACGTCAATACACTGTACATGTTGGTAACAGACTCTGCAAGCAATTGCCAAGATGTATTCTATTTTTATGAAGTGTGTATCTATTACCTTAGTTTGTATTTTCTATATAATATCTTGATGGGACTCTTTTATAAAATTATTGTATAAAAAAGTTACAGTAAGATCAGCCTAAATAAATGTGTCACATCCTTTTTCTTAACTTTTTTGAGAACCTAAACTTTGTCTCTTGACAGCTATGATAGCTGTAAAAAGGTTATAGTCATATAATAAACATGCACACATCACAAGAGCCTTGGAGACAGGCAGTGTTATTTATTTTTTTTTTCTTTTTGGCAAGGGCTGGGTTTGAACCCACCACCTCTGGCATATGGGGTCAGCACCCTACTCCTTGAGCCATAGGCGCCGTCCATGGCAGTGTTATTTTTCACATATTTTAGGTCAGGATCCTGGAACACAGATAACTTACGTAACTTCCTTAAGATGACATAGCTAGGTAGACACAGAAATGTCAGACCCTCTAGCTACTTTGATTCCAAGTCAAATGACATCTTCTCTCCGTGACGGTATGACCATCTTCTCATCCACCTTAACAGTTTTCTTACAGGTCATCTCAAGGCAATTCATCTCTTACCTGTGCTATTTATTAAATGAAGGATCCTATAATTGAAGGATTTTTATCTACAATCACATTCTTTAAAGACACTTGAAAAAATTATCTAGTCCGTAGCCTGGTAGTCAGGCCAATAATGTCTAAATCAGTGTTTAACAAGAGTATTCTGTAGAACACTAGACCAGTAAGTCAAAAGGGTTTTGTGATCAAACAAGTTTGAGAAACACTGCATAATATGTTCTCCTATTAAAAATTTATCATGAACTCTGACACTTACAGGTCTTAGAAGTTCAGTAGTAAACATTTAATTTGTTCAAGCCAACATTTTATGAAGGATTTTATTACAAACCTTTTTTACCCTAATATTATCTCACCAAATGCTTGGGGGAATGCTGATGTGATACATCTGTTTTATTCCTCAATCCATTGAAAAGATATTTGATAACCTACTTTGGTAAATAATTTTAGTACACAAACTTGACCATGGAGCTTCTTTCTAAAATGAAATGAGTTTTGCTCATTTCCTCCCTCTGGTACTCTGCAGGTTTAGAGAGTGACAGGGCAGTGAGCAGACCTGAGCGACTGCACAGTCATTAGTAGGGACAGACTCTGAGTTACTACAGGATTTGATTTAGAAATTCCTATTTGGTGCCAGAAGATCTTGCTAGAATCTTTTTTTTTTTTTTTTTTT